GCCTCGCGTATCATTTCGCCGTCCATCTGATGGATAGAGAATTACGTACTTCCTCTACCGGTCCAAGGAGTAACGAGCCAAACTTTGCGTCTTGTGCCTCCGGATGTTTCTCATGAAGTTGTCTCATGACGTCGTCTGGCCTTGCATAACTAACTTGGCGAATATCTTCGCTTTATTTGGAGGCTCTGCCCTCTTGGTCTCGAAGGATTTTAAAATACGCTTTTGGATCGATCGTCCCAAATGCAATAGGCTCTYAATTTCCCCTTCTTTCCATAACGCTAAACGTTTTATCAAGCAGCATGCTTTGTCAAGCACTCTTGATGGTCTTTTTTTAGCACARAAGCGGCTTTTTAAAAGCGCTATGTGTTGCGCATGCGATGAATTGTTCCAGTCAGTTATATGTTGCGTTTACAGTTAATATATACACCACTGACCTGTAAATAGTAAAAACTAATCAGGACAGGTCAGTGGTTTACAAATGGTAGAAAAGAAAACTTTCAAAGAGCTCCGTTCAGGTCGCTCGCCTGACGCAGGGTCCAGGGTCCATTTGGGACAAGGAAGGTGTTCTTGCGCCAATGTATGATTTCATCGTAGGCTTTAATTATGGTTGACGAATTGACTGTTATTGTTGTTCCATCCGCTTTGCGACACCAGTTGATTATTGATGGCGTGTGCATTAAAATCAGGCAAACGCCCTGATGCGTGCATACTGATACAAGGTTCGCTTGAAACATCACGTCACGTCTAATGATTCCTGTTGTTCTTGCACACTTGCTGCGATGTTATTGTTATGCAAATGCAAAGTGTTCGCCAGCTCACAATTAGCATTTTGACTGTTGTTGTAAAAAAAAWTTAAAATCGTCGTTCAATTTTCCGACCCTTGAGGCTTGATCCCTCAGGTTTTKGCATTTAAAAAATCCTAGGTGTTCGTATCCTTTTTCGATCCAAAGTTCTTGCATTACTGCTATATAGCCTTTTTTCGTGCCGTTCTCCTAGTCTCCTCGAAGCCGTTCTTAGTGGTGGGCTCGCTGTCATCCGCGCTAGCCGTTCTCCATGCTTGGTGGATTCTCTGATGCTACAGGTTCCTTTGCTTTCTTCTTGCATTCCAGCAGATCTACATTCATCTGCTTTGTCCATTTCAATTTCGTCCGTGACTGTTTAGACATCTCAAAATTTAAAAAAAAGTTTGCCCGTTTTTACTTCATTTGGCGAATAAAACATTCTCTAGGAATGGGATTCTAATGAAGCAGATTTTAGGCATATTTTGGAGACTCATCAGAGCGCAGCTCTAGTTCGTCGTGCCGCCATACAATCAATAATCTGTTTTGTAGATAATTTTTAGTTAAGAAGAAATATAGAAAACTAAAAACTAGCCTAGTAGACATACCAAGAGATTGATGAGTCAAAACGTGAAGAAACTGTTCTAAAGAGAAACTAAGAAAATCCTTTTATAGATACAAAAGTGTGAAACTGCGGGAGAGAATCGAACCGCTTGGAACGTCTGCTACGGAGGCTAAAGAGACAGTACTTAACTTAATTAAAACTTTTAAAACACCATCGTGTATGTCCACCATGGTAACGAAAAGATCTTTCTAAGCACGTCTGACTGTTGTTCTGATTTGTCAATTCCTTGTAGGTTTATGCTGTTACGTTCTAAACATATAACTGTAAACATATGCATAGTTCATTATTTCCCTTCCATTTGTAAAATTGATCTTTGATGGACTATTTTAAAATGTGTGAAACTCTTATTAAGCCTCTATTCTTCGATTGAGGATAATCTGATTGTTATTACTGTAGCTCATCAAACTTCAGCTTACTAAAAATAAACCTGCAAGTTTGAGYCCCGAGTATAAATCTCAGTTGTAAGTTACTCTCTTTAAACATTATTGGCGAAATATAGAAAAGACCMAAAAATACTCAAGAGTGAAATATAATAAAATAAGCCGAAAGTGAGCTAAAGTGTTACTGACAGCGAGTATAGCGGTCCCTTGAGACTTCGTGGAACTTACCTCTTGTTTTTGTCGCAGGCTTTTCCAATAAATTATCGAATGAAAWGAAAGTGAGCAAAGCAAAAAGAGCAATAGGAATTAGCAGCAATTTTCCATATCGTCTACATATTTTAAAACGAAGAAAACGGAGCATTTCCAAAGAAAAACAAACACCACGAGTTCACCTCGTCACCGCGTATATATTTCGCGCTGTAAAGAAGCCACAGGAGGCCCAAACTCTACCTTCTGTATAAATGATTGAAAAAAACATATCTGTTAACAGGTGCATCAATTKTGTTTAGTGTGAACTTGTATATTTACAGTTATTGTTTGTTGGGATTAAGTGATAGYATTCATCAAATTTCAAATAATAATACCACTTTATCAGCGGTCCCTTGAGACTTCGTGTAACTTACCTCTTGTTTTTGTCGCAGACTTTTCCAGTAAATTATCGAATGAAAAGAAACCGAGCAAAGCAAAAAGAGCAATAGGAATTAGCAGCAATTTTCCATATCGTCTACATATTTTAAAACGAAGAAAACGGAGCATTTCCAAAGAAAAACAAACACCACGAGTTCACCTCGTCACCGCGTATATATTTCGCGCTGTAAAGAAGCCACAGGAGGCCCAAACTCTACCAAAAAACATATCTGTTAACAGGTGCATCAATTGTGTTTAGTGTGAACTTGTATATTTACAGTTATTGTTTGTTGGGATTAAGTGATAGYATTCATCAAATTTCAAATAATAATACCACTTTATTGAACTTGGTCTAGAAATGCTAGCTTAAAAAAAGATGACTCTCCTAAACGCAGTTTATAAGAATTAATTTATAGATGTTATGTTAATTTATCTTTAAGAAATGCTTCATAATTATYTAATAGGTAAAAACCCCTTTTTGTTGTTATCAGASATTAAGCTACATGAGGTCTATATTAATATGCAAAAATTTACATCTTCAAAGCTAAGAGAGAAAGGGATGGCCAGTATAAAATGGAACATGTTTAGGCAAATATGATTTGAATTTCTGAGTACCCAAGAGCCCTTCCAGTYTTAGCTTTGTTATGATAATAACCTTTTCACAATCTAATGTTTTTTCAGATGGACTCTGTGCTTGCTGTAAAGAAATTATGTTTAGCTAYGTAATAGTGATCACATTTCCAYTTTCAAATAACAAAGTGGATGAACCAGATGTATTCATAGCCTTGGCTACAATGAGATTTGGTAGGAGTTGTCTTGCAGTCACATTTAAATCAAACAGCAGTATCTCGCCATTAAATGYTTCACCATTTTCAATATTACTGCATTTGTAATTTTCACCCAGTTTTCTAGGAATACCATCAACTTCCCAATATTTGTTACTAGCAATATCTTTGTCACAAATTAATTTTGTATATCTCTTTTCAATTTTCCCATTTTTGTTTTCATCTCCACTGCTGTGATATCTTGTGAAATGTTTTTCATCTTCATCGATATTGTAGTCTGATTTGTTGAAGCCAAGCACCGACATAACAAGTGGAAAAGATGAGCTCATAAAATGTTGATATGYATTCTTTGTGAAACTGAAACACATTATATTATTAATTACCAATAAGCTTAGTAGTCTGCTATAATTATTTTAAAAGTCATTAAGTTATTTGACTTACCCAATGTTAGTAACAATAATCCCAAGAGTGTTGTTCTGCTCGTGGCTCAATGWCCCCTCCAGCTCTCGTAAATGAACGGGTCCTAATTTTCTTTTAGAAAATCTACACTGTCCAATCGTTTTTACTGAACAAGATCGTAGATTCCAATTTCCTCGGAAATCTACACCACGATCTCCCGGCCCACCACAAAGATWAACTTCCATGCCATGTTTCTTCAAAGATTTCACGGTAAACAACTCAAAATTGTTRCCAATAACACCATTTCTTGTTGAATGGCTTTGAAATCGAACTAYCACTGCGAAGTTTTCAACAATTTTTGCAAAGTTCTTGATGCTCATGACACAATAGTAGACTATACTAGTAGTACTAGAGCATTTTCACAACCGCAATTGCAAACAGGCGTTCCTCGCCAACACTCAATAACCACAGGCAACCCGCGCGCGCACTTGCTTTTAATTTTATTTGGTGCATACTCTTAACGACTTCACAATGTTATAAAGCTTTACGTTTGCATGGACATCCAGTTTTGGTAAATATTATTTTTATATTTTTGAGTTCGTGGACAAATTGTCAGCATCTTTACASCTTCTGGGCCGTACTAATAAAGTGTGCATTTATTTATATTCACACCTTCGACTGGTGACTGATTTACAGAGAAATACGCTGCCATTAAATATTTCTTAAATATACACCTAATTACACAAATGTTTCTCAAGAAAAATAACTTTTACTATTTAGGAATTAATTAAAAAACAAAAGAAAGTGTTCGGCTTCAGTGGGCACGTTTTGTCTTTTAATGTATTACTAATTTCCTAAATCCCTAAATCTCAGGACACTACCGAAGAAATAAAATGACATTTTGTTTCCCAAGAACCTAATAATCAAGCGTACAAGAGATTTCAACTCTCAATGCGATCTGATCCCAGAAGAAAGAGTTACAACCAGTGCTCCAAAAAAGCTAATAATATTGTATTCAGATTATATATTTTACAATATAGATTACATATCTCGGTCTATGCTATTCTACCATCAATGAACAGCATTTGCACTGATATTTATTCTAACATTCTTGATGCACCGGGCAGCTGCTTCTTGAACAGAGTGATCTTGAGAGGCCATCATTTTCAAGAGATGCTTAAAGGAAAATTGTTATTAAAAAATATGCATACAATGTCAGATTCAATCCCGCCCCCGGTGTTGATTACTRATAGCTGGTTCCTGAAAACCATTGATTTGTACAAGCGAATTTAAAGGCCTACGTGYATCCAATAACCTTTGCGGCCATTTCTTTTGTTTAAAAAATGACTTCCTTTTCAGAGTTGCTTTCTGATTGGTTCAAAGTTAAACATGGCGGATTTTCGTACGTGAGAAAAATCGCGCAAAGGCTCATGGATGCAAGCGGCTCCTTCATTTTTGATGTTTTGCTTGGAAAAATCTGACTTTACCTTGATGGCACCATTTTTGTGAATTATRAAACAATTGTGAGGGTTGCTCGAAAGTTTTTCCAATGCAAGAGCAGTRGTTCTATGGACATCAATACTACTGTACGTGCGTAGACCATCTGACAAAGGTACAACTGTTGTAGACAAGGCTTTGATGTTTTCCTCTAGGTTACAGCATCTACACATTGAACACAAATATATTTTGGTTTCAACGATAAATTTTAAGCTCYTCTTAGACGTCATCTATGCTTTTGTTGGCCTCAAGTATTCATAAGTAGTGTAAGGACTACTATTTGTGCACTTACGCGGCAATTGCTTCTGCAACATACTGATGCAGCTCTTCATCATCCTTAAAAAAGACATTGAAYAGTTATTTGTAAGTTGAAATCACAGTTTAGGGCGCGAAGACATTATTACAGTTTCAATACATATACTGAAACAATTTAGGAGTACTATCTATAGTACTGTTCTCGCCATACGAAGCCGCAATTTTTAMAATATATCAGGTCCATATCACAACTGCTTGTTCAAAACTGGTTCGCTCCATAAAAAGTCTAAAAAAATAAGTTTTTACATTCCAGTGCAAGATACTAGAAATTCTTACCGCATAAACTAGGGAAATCAGTAAAGGTATTACGTCATAATCTGTCATGATGGACATGTTTTCTCGRTCTTGACCAATATTAATCACCATTTGGCATACATTGATYAGGACCTACACGACAAAATAWAYACARTTTACGAGATACAATCTTTAAGCCTTGGTACCTGCAGCTACTTATACGTACATCTCGTCTGTTTGATCGTAGGAGCTTGGTGACTAGTTCTAATCCTCCAACAAAAGAACGAACAATTTCTGCTGATTCCTGGAAGTAAGGGTGGAATTATTAAAGCAAAGACAATTAGATCTTTTACATTAACGAATTGTCAGAGTGTGCTGCAGTGAAATGCAGTGTGCAGATAATATACAAAGCATTATGAACGTAGAACTTAGCTTACCAAGGCATTTGAAACGCACATAGCAATGCTATAAGCAGCACTCGCAACAACCTGAAAAACAATAATGCAAAATTGTTAAAAGTATTAAATTCGAAGAAATCTTGGAAAAATGGTATAACGTGCACGAACTATGTCGGTTTGTTGCCTGAAATGCCAAACTGAGGCAATAAATAATTCGCATCACTTAGATCCTCGTCTTTCCCTCAAACATTTTCAGAACGGTGCGTCAACGGTACGTCACGGTGCGTTTCATTTGACKCACGGTGCGTCAACTCATTCTCTCGATCCAAAAGCTGCTTTTTCAGTTGAACTGATCTACATACCTTATGATTGGAAGACTTTAGCAACGACCACAGTAGTCTGACTCCATCACTATTCAGTATCTCCCTGTGATGAAAGAATAAAAGTTTGACACTGCCAGCTTCCATCTGGGACATATATGGACAGAAAATAATGGATGATAATGTCTCGTTAGCCTGAGTAGCGAYCTTAAGGGAATTGAGAGGGACAGGACCACTACGCAGTCTTTGTCTATCACGACGTTTAAAGTTACATAAGTGGTAGTTCCCTGGAAAATACTAAGATGATAAATATTGAGTGAGGGTGTACCCACCTTCTTGGAACGTCTTCCTTTGCACACAATGCCAATACTGTTGTGGAATTTATCAGAACATTTGGATCCGTGACGTTTAATTTATTGATTGCGATGTGCAGAACTCCTTCTTCGTAAATAGTTTTAATRTTTTTTCGATTATAAGCAAATACACTTAAAGCTCCAAGAATATTTGCTTCYACCTAGACAGCAAGAAAACAGGGCAACATGATCAAATTACGAAAAATGCATTCGCTCAGACGGTACACAGGCGAGACATCATGGAAGGTACAATGTATAGCACGAGTGAGCTTCAATCTCTGCGATGACAATGGAGTAATTAAAAATAAACAGCAAGGGTTATTGTATTTGATATCACCAATAATTTCACTGCTTGATGGCTGGTTGGATTGTCAGTATTTTGGTTTACCTAAGGTTATGACTGTGTTAGACTAACCTCCAAAGGCTGTTCATTTTTCATCTGTTTAATCAAATATGCAAGTGTACCAAGATATTCCAATCTATAAAATAAAATCACATGAAAAGATTAAACAACATTCTTAAAGAAARAGTCCTGAACAAGTTCAGTACAGGTTATATAATAAACAAAAATATTACAGGACTAAAGCATCAGTTACCTCTCAATATTTTGCTTATACGATCCGCACTTCCATACAGCTCCAGCCACGGCAGAAAGTAAATTCTTATCAGAGTACTGATTRGTTGACTTCAGTACCCCAACCAAGTGATCTAAGCCTTCATGTTTGAGGACTAGCTTTTGTGTTTCAACRTCATCGCCACACTAGGAAAGTTGTGTTATTTATGAAGAAATTAACATAAAAATATGATGGAACAATTAACATTACGTCAGTACCTTAAAAATTGCATTTGCACAAAGCGTTTTTAACACGTCGTCACCACTTCTTAACAGTCGAACAACATCTTCAATTATGCCTTCTTTACGGATGTCATCACGGAAGGAGCTCTACGAAAACATGTATAAATGAAGTCCACAAATTTGATTCACACAACTGGGTCCAGTAAAAGGATGGATAACGAGGTGTCAACCGGATAAGGTTATCCACCCCATAGATTTTGTATGGATTTTAATTGATGGATAAGGATTTATCTGGTGTAGAGCGCTACTACCCCTTCGTACAATCAATCTCTATTTAGTTAAAACGCAATGATAACATGCGCAATGCGCCGCTGTGAGATGTATCGTAAGCCTGTTACACATGCTCGCTCCTATCTGATTCAATCCCACATGGCTTGATGCCCAAAGTTTAATGCTAGTCGTTCTTTACTTACATCGCTAGAACACTCCTGAATAATCCCAACACAGCAGAGGATCACGTCATTTGAACCATTTTTCAAGAGASATGAAAGTATTGACACTGCYCCTGCCTCTCGAACAGCATGGATATTTTTGGAACATCGACTGCAGCTCCACAATGCCTCGCAGACGTTTTTACATAGGGATTCTGTATTTTCGTTTGTTGCATAAGCAGTTGACCTCACAGGTCTGTTATCTATTATTGTACTTTTTAGTATATTGACCTAGAATATGAAGGAATGTAAATTGAGTTCATCCTAGGTTTTACTAGTGAAGTAAGCTGAGAGAACAAAGAAGCAGAAAAGAAGGTTTTCGTTTGTTATTCAGCTTGATCTCGCCGCTCCTTTTCGAGTTTTTGAGTCTTTCTTACCAAGATGGGTATTCCCTTGTAGCCCTTGACCGCACTGTAAGCTTTACGAAAAGATGCAAAGTTCGCAAGAGTTCCTGCTGCTAAGGACTGAACTTCGAGAGAGCGACTGCTTAGAGAGTCGATTATTTGCTCCACTCCTGGTTAAGAAAAAAAAAACAATCAAGTGAAAATATACGCCACTATGGTTTCCAAAAAGGAAAGCAAAACAAAAATAAAAAAATAAYTTTGGTAATTATTTCACCGGTTTTGCACAAACAACAACAGCAACAATAGAAATAGTATAATTACCTTTTAATCGATAGATCTCATTGTTGACAACCCTACTTTTTGAAAGTTTAAGCAATATTTTCAGCGATCCAATCTGAAGATAAAAAATCAACTTACTTAATAAAGATGCAAGTATAAATCTTAAATTATTGAGCGTGCATGTGTGTAGTTTATGATATAATTCGCCTTATAACTCACCACACAAGATATTTGTTTTGTGTTCAATAAGTTCAACAGTATCGAAATCCCGCCAAGATCCACGACAGAAAGTTGAGTCATTTCTTGGTGAAGATTGAATTCATCAAGTGCGCATAACGCGATTAACGTAACTGTAGGATTGCCAACCTTTGATAAATATAATAAACTATGAAGTGGGATAATACAAAAGTGAAATGATAGATATGTGGTATTTATATATGTGGTATTTATATAGCGCCGATATCCTCTCACATGCGCTTCACATGTATAGATCATTTCACACGGACCGCTGTTTAAGGCGCAATTGGCAGCCACGCGGCTTACAATCATGAGGGGTYRRTAATTAGTATGGGTTAGTAGTAAGGCCTAGCCACACACACCGGGAATCATTCCCTATACTCATATACGAACAGTGGTGTGGGTTCTTTAACGTCCCTCTAATACAGGTTAGTGAGTGAAGTGTAGAGAGACGGGACCTCCGATTTTACGTCGTTATCCGAGATGATGCTCTGCCAGACGATACACATCAGAAGATTAGTACGCAAATTGATTGCATGTTTCGCCTTAGCTGATTGGATGGATTGTTAGTTGTGGAGGTGGTGATTGATTGAATGGTTTGTTGGTTGATTGATTTGAGAAGGTTGGTTGATTGGTTGGTTAGTTCCTTGACTGGTGGATCGGTTTAGTAGGTTATCTTGCGATTTGCGCAAGTTCAGTTGTTTGCCAGTTGCCTTCTTGGTATTAAGTAACCGGTCACGGGCACGGACCATATGTGAGTTTGAGTTTGTTTGATGTGTTGTTCTCTTCCTTGCCACGAGGGTTTTTCTCCGGGTCCTCCGGTTTTCCTCCCTCAGCAAAAATCAACATGTGAGGAGTGATGTGTGCTAAAATATTTAATGTAGAGGTAGTGAGTGTGAGAGTACAGGGTCCGCAGTAATTGGCTCACGCTGTTGCGGTTTCCCTGCCCATACTAGGGGCAAAGCTAATAAATTAAAATTAGATTAACCTACCTTCAAAAACCTGACCAATTTGTGGATATCCCAATATTCAGCAGTCAACTCCGGTCTTAACTAAAAATATGCACATTATATGGTTAAAGCTGAGCAAAATAGTACAAACTGTTTTTTCCTGCAGCTTACTTACTTCTCGAGACCGATTCTCRTCTTKTTCACTGTCAGTTGACGAACTCTCATCAGAAATCTCGTCACTTGAATACCAATGCACACTCTTTCCAGAACCCTCCCGGACCGAAGGCTTTGCAGTGGATGTACTTCATTAGAAAAACAAAGCAGAAATGACTGGGCAATTGAGGCTAATATTTGACTAGTGTGTTTATTACGGGATTTTGAATATGTAGTCATACATCTGTAATGACGTCATATTGAAAGAGAATTAATGAGTGTTTGCTTTATGGTAAAAGCACTGTTCCCACTGCAGAGTGCATAGGTCTAACACCCTAATATATTTTTCATACCTGGACGCGTTCCTTTGTCGTGATTTCGAATTACTTCTCAGATACCGTCGAGCTGAATCTCTATCAAAAAAAAAAAAAAAAAAATGGAGATTATTAGGAGCAATAAAGGGAACTGTTATATTTTCTTCACTAAGAATCACAAGACATTCCCATTCTTGCAATTCCCATTTTTGTGGTCTACCTCTCAATCAACATTGATTTTGGCTTGAATTTATACCTTTTCGTTGCACTTGCCTTCTTCTCTTCTTTCTCAGTGCGAACTTGATGGATGATAGTTTTTTCGGCTTTAGATGATACAGTTTTCTTAGTAGTTTTTCTTTGGTCGAGTTTTAATTCTTTGGTTTTCTTTTGACTTAATGATCTTGAGCTTGGGGACCTGAAATGCAATATCAGTTAGAGAGGGTTTGTAAGATGGACAGATCTGKGCCATTTACRCTCGCATTTACGCAAAATCATTCTCAATAGTAAAATTACTATATTCTAAGGAGTTATTTACCTATTGTTCYTGCTTTCATTTTCTTTTCGCTCAGTTGTTTTTTCGCTCTTTTTCGTTTTATCTCCTGCGCCATTGTCCTTCGTCTCATTGCTCGTTCCTTGACTATGGACGTTTGAGGTTTCCGAATCCGAATGAAAATCATCTTTGTAATCATTTTCATTGTTCTAGAAAAAGAGACGTGTGAAAGGTTGGTTTGGTCGTGCTAACGTTGTTTCTTATATATTTTCTTTTTTATAAAGAATACTCTAGTGTTTCTAACTTTCGTTGGAGTTCTGAAGACCCTTACCTTGTTTTCAATAGCAATATCCGCAACGCCAGAAGTACATTCAGAAGACATAGCCAAATGTAGAATTGTCTCCTTGGCAACCGTGACTTTTTTGAGAATCCTGATTCACAAAATTCGTATATTGTGCTGTTTATCAGTAGCCAAACAATTGAGACTGAGATCTCAAGCAAATAATTTCTGAGGGTAAGATAGACACAGCAATATTCACTTAAATTTTCCTAATCTGTACGGATTTTGCTATAATCCAAATATTCAGATCAAACGCGTCACTCCAAATATACAGACAGGCCCTTGACTAGCTTGAGTTTCGTTTGAGCGTTGATGCACTCAGGAAAGCCCTTCGCCGTCTCTGTTTAAACTTATAATCAAGTTCACACACGAAATTGCAAGTAATAAAAGTATGTATTTTTTCATGTAAAAAAAATATCAAAGAAAGAAACAAGAAAAACAAACAAACAAAAACAACTACAAAAAGAGCATTCACAGTGCAACACTGAACAACAGAAGACAAAAAGGCATTTACCATTCAATGAAAAGCGCTCTTRAGGGTCTTACAATAGGAGGAAAACAAGTAGGATATCTCGTAAATTATTTYCAATAAGAGAGCTCTGTCATTAAGGATGAAAATGCACGCGAGACTCACTTTTTCTATGATTTTCTAGTCACAATGTCAAAGCTGAATACGTGTCCATTTCATTGAATTGATAATAACACTACATGTCAATTCGACGTCTGAATCATTTAATTTGCTGTATTTCGCGTATCAAAACGAATATTCAACATACTGACATAAACTTCAACACAAGGCGCAACGTGGTTGCTGTAGTTTGATCACATGTCGGAACAATTTTTAAAAATCACTGATTTTATGTTTTTGACGAATAGCCAATCTGACCGCTATAAAGAAACATTGTACGTCAAAACCTAATCAATTGGACAATTTTTACTTAGCAACTAAGGATTAATTGAAAACAGAGGACATCAAGATAAATTGCGGATTTGAAATACAAAAAGCGATAAAAAAATCGATAATGTGAATAGACATATTACGTGGTTAGTATTTTAAAGCTTGAAACCAATAATCGAGGATTACTAAAAAGGATTTTCTTGTATACTAAGAATTACCATGGTAGTTGCAAATGGGAAATAAATACAACTGTAACCATTTAGATTTCTAAAATCAATTTATAAATAATACAATGCGCCCCAGCTGCTGAAAATATTAGTGTTTTCACATCCAAAAACCCGTCACGATATTTCCTAAGAAAGCTTATTTGAAAACCACTACACTGATGTCCATACAGTTATACTGATATCATATAATGAAAAATTCATGATGACAACGTTTTCTAAATATGTCTGAATTGATACCTTAAAACTTTTCTTGCTTCATAAAATTCAAACGAGACTCCTTGTTACAATAAGTGAGTYCAACGAAAAACTCGTCCCTTYTCAAGTAACACGGTTTTAAGCGCCAGAAGTTTGTTTACTGGCAACCGASGGCTGTTATTCTCATCTTTTTYATCGCCCAATCAACATTTACTATTCAAGGATGTCATTCACAAAGAGAAAAACAGCCACCACGCGTGCGCTTTACTGGACCAGCTGTTTCAATTTTATCATCATTCAATACAGAATAGTAWAATAATGAGAAACCCCRGTGACAAAGAGAGACATTTAGTGTACTTTGCCATTAGGATTCAACACGTTTGTTATTCATCGYGAAAAGAGAACGCGCAACTCTATTAACGACCACAAGTGGGGATATTCTTTCAAATGTGAATTAAAATGTTTTCTAAATAAAGTACTGTGACGAAAATACGCTACACGGAGTATATTTAATAAAAACAATATACAGAACATGACTCGATTATAGCATTATATTTTTTGTACATTATTTGCCTGTTAAGTATCGTTATGCTTAAAAAAAAAATTGCTTAAAAAAACAGAGTGCTACTCACGCCGAGTCCTTATCGTGATGACGTACTGCATCTATGGTACCATAATTCTTTGCGGTTATTACCCATTCGATACAACATAGTATCAATAACAAAACAATTCACAGCAAAAACTGTCGCTCACTTTCCAAATAATTTTTTCCCTTTAAATAATACCTTTTTAAAATATTTTAAGTAAACATAAGTTCATTAATGTTTCTTATCACAAATAATGCTCAATTATGTTGTCATCTGGAATTTCAAGGCCCTGGAGCCACTTGATATTTGCAATTTCTAACCATTTCTTAATCATGCAAACTTCTTCTTTGTCGCAGTGTATCTCTCCATGTACTTTAAAAAAATGCAGAAATAATTATTGACATTTATGTTGAAAAACATAGATGATATAATCATATTTCATAATTTAATTGTTTACAGCCTTTTGCAAAAATTATGAGAATTGTCGAAATATCKAAATATCATAATATCGAGTGCATGATGGGTAATCCCGTGCGATGCCCTTAGTCCSTTGTCTTTGTAGTTTAGTTTGYTTTTGGCGACAGACTTATCCGTAGTTCTGAACATTTTCTCGATGTCAACAATGAATTATTCTAGCAAACCCGCGTGTTCCAGACAATATATGGATATGGATATTATGATATTTACATATTTAGACAATTCTCATAATATTTGCAAAAGGCTGTATTCAACTGGTTAGTTTTTATAGATTTTATGCATTTATGTACTATAATGTTATTTGTTTAACTTCTAAGGATATGTATAATTTTGCTGCAATAAAATTTGTAGAACTCCCATGCAGTCTCTTAGAATTATCATGATTTATTTTGATAAATAAATAAAATGTTTTATCATGTCATACCTGTTCATAGCCATCTTTGTCATGGAATTCCTTCATTGTAAATAAATTCCCATCAACAGCSAGCAATGAAATGTTTGAATCTTTCAACAACTTTACTGGRACTTGATCCAGASYCAAGCAATTTTCTTCAACTCGCAAAACCTTYAGCCTTGCACAAGAAGACAGACCCTCTGGTAAAATTCCAATTTGATTTTTATTCAAGTTCACTTCTACAGCCTGAAGATCACTGATATCTGGAGGAATCACTTTGATCTTATTGTCCGATAAGTCTATGACATCAATGTGCCGCAGTGTACAAAGCTCTTCTGGGAAAACAGTCAGTTGATWTGATGAAAGGKATAGTGTCTTTAAGTTTGATAACCCAATGAAGATATCTTGCGGTAAATGCTTGATTGATGTGTGGTTTGCTGTCAGTGTYTCAAGCTTCTTGAGCTTGTTCATTTCCTTTGGAAGGGTTTCTAGAAAGACATTAGAGTTCATTGTAGCAAATTTATTGTGTAAGAAGACTATCCATAACTGAATATTTTATTTTATTTATTTAGACTTTGCCCAGAGGCCGTGTTACCTAACAGAGCATAGCGCCACCAAAGGACACAGGCCCTTGCGCTTCATAATTAAATCTTATTATGATTTGTGTTTCTCTCATAAACCATATTTCTGTACAGCACTTATGCAAAATTCCTTTCTAAACAAATTGGTCTCAACTGCAGACCTAGCATGCATGCAGGCATTCCTACTTGGGGGCAGAGCGAAGAAACGCAGAGCGAAGAAACGTTTCTTCGTTCTGCCCCCAACTAGGAATGCCTTCACTCAGGCTACGGCAGACCTTATTTTGCTTTCCTTTTCTATTTTCTCTATTTTGGGCTTCCTGTGGGATTCCTGACATTTACAATCAAAATTACAGTTCAACTAACCAAGGTGATTGAAGGATAAATTTAAACTTTTGAGGTTCACAAGGCCACCAATATTAGCTGGCAATGACTTAAGTTTATTTTCTGAAAGATCAAGTGTTCTTAAGGAAGAGCCAAGATGCAGAAGTTGGGGTGGTACCTGGACAAGAGAAGGAAGAAAAAATATAATATAAAAGACTTACTAATGTTTACAAAGACTCCTTTACACTTCTTTCTTTAGGCTTTTTTTTTCACATTCCCACATTTGTCTACTTTGTAATGTATTCTTTAATAYACATTCACATCACAATGCAATGTAGGAAACTTCCT